CCCTTTGCAAGCACGAAAGTCAATAGTCATGCAATGAAATTACATCCTACTTGTGGTGCATTATTCAGTGTTAATTATTCTTAATGCTCGCTTATGAGATTATTCGTTTCTTGGTTGGTCGCTTCTCAATCTTTTGCTAGCCTTCATTTTGCACCAAGTATGATCACTACTTGTGCATCCAAAATCATTTAAACCAGTTTTGCCACATGAGTCCACTATACCTACCTATATGTGGTATTCTTTTGCCATCCTAAGCAAATTTGTATGTGCCATCTCTAATTTTCAAACTAAATTTATCTTTGGTGTGCTCGTACCGCTCGCGAGGCGGTGAGGGGTGGCCGATATTTTCCATGCTAGATGTGCAATAGTGTTATTCTCACGATGAGTGTTTATTCACTTGTCATTGCACGAGAGTAAGGCAAAGGTATTAGGGATGCCCAGTACTGAAATGAAAAATGAATTTACTTTATGTTGTTAAATTCCTGGGAAAGTGTTGGTATGGAAGGTACCCGTGGATACGGTTTGCCATGGAAAGTGAAAGTATGGTAGAAAAAGGGATAAACTTTATTTTTATGTTTGGGAACCGCCTATGATATATCCAGCATGGAAAGTGTGGGGAACTCTAAGTTATTTTCGTTGGTGGGAAAAGTATGCCTCTCAAAATGTTTTTATCTCTCAATTTTCGCTTTGAGCTATGGCACCTCTAAAAATCCCTACTTCCCTCTGCGAAGGGCCTTTCTTTTACTTTATGCAATTTTTATTTTAAATTTGAGTATCCATCTTCTCTTATAAAGCACCAACTAGGGGCACTATGATCGTACTTGAGCATTGGGTGTAGCTAATATGCGAGTGTGTTTCATGAATGGATCAATGATTGAGCATGATGGGCTAGGGATAACTTATTTTAGCGTTGAAATTTTGAAAGACATGGTTGCTTGTTGATATGCTTGAGTATTTAAATCTCATGTCAAAACTAGACTATTTCTTTGAATCATATAAAAGTCCAAATGTCCATGCTATAAATAAAACAAAATGAGATGACATGTTAGGCAACATTCCACATCAAAAATTATGTTTTTATCATTTACCTACTCGTGGACGAGTAGGAATTAAGCTTGGGGATGCTGATACGTCTCCAACGTATCTATAATTTTTGATTGTTCCATGCTGTTATATTATCATTATTGGATGTTTTATAATCATTTTATAGTCATTTTATATCATTTTTTGGTACTAACCTATTGACATAGTACCAACTGCCAGTTGTTGTTTTCTACATGTTTTTTACATCACAGGAAATCAATACCAAACGAAGTCCAAACGCAGCGAAACTTTTTGTGGATTTTGTTTGGACCAGAAGACATCCAATGGGCCAGAGAAGTGACTGGGGGTGCTCCGAGGGGAGAACAACCCACCAGGGCGCGCTTGGAAGCCCAGGCACACCCTGGTGGGTTGTGCCCACCTCGGGTGCCTCCCGAACCGACTCTTTGCTCTATAAATACCCCAATATTCCAGAAACCCTAGGGGAGTCGATGAAAATCAATTCCAACCGCCGCAGAGTCCAAAACCACCAGATCCAATCTAGACACCATCATGGAGGGGTTCATCATGCCCAGTGGTGCCTCTTCAATGATGCGTGAGTAGTCTTTTGTAGACCTTCGGGTCCGTAGTTAGTAGCTAGATGGCTTCCTCTCTCTCATTTTCTCAATACAATGGTCTCTTGGAGATCCATATGATGTAACTCTTTTGCGGTGTGTTTGTTGGGATCCGATGAACTTTGAGTTTATGATCAGATCTATCTCTTTTTATCCATGAAAGTTATTTGAGTCTTCTTTGATCTATTATATGCATGATTGCTTATAGCCTCGTATTTCTTCTCTGATATTTGGGTTTTGTTTGGCCAACTTGATCTATTTATCTTGCAACGGGAAGAAGTGCTTTCTGATGGGTTCGATCTTACGGTGCTTGATCCCAGTGACAAAAGAGGAACCAACACGTATGTATCATTACCATTAAGGATAACAAGATGGGGTCTATTTCTACATAAATATATCTTGTCTACATCATGTCATCGTTCTTATTACATTACTCCGTTTCTCCATGAACTTAATACACTAGATGCATGCTGGATAGCGGTTGATATGTGGAGTAATAGTAGTAGATACAGGTAGGAGACGGTCTACTAATCTTGGACGTGATACCTATATAATGATCATTGCCTGGATATCATCATGATTATTTGAAGTTCTATCAATTTCCCAACAGTAATTTGTTTACCCACTGTTTGCTATTTTTCTCGAGAGAAGCCACTAGTGAAAACTACGGCCCCCAGGTCTCTTCTTTAATATATTTGCCTTTGCGGTCTATTTTCCTTAGCTTTTATTTTCAGATTTATTAAAACAAAAATACAAAAATACCTTGCAGCAATTTATTTTATCCGAGATCTATTTATCCCATCTATCATATTTTTATCACGTCTGTTTGCCAATTTCTGGCGTCGTTACCGGAAAGGGATTGACAAACCCTTTAACACGTCGGGTTGCAAGTATTTGTTATTTGTGTGCAGGTGTTGTTTACGTAGTGTTGCTTGGTTCTCCTACTGGTTTGATAACCTTGGTCTCATCACTGAGGGAAATACCTACCGTCGTTGTGCTGCATCATCCCTTCCTCTTTAGGGAAATACCGACGTAATTCTAGCAGACATCAGCGCGCCCCTAGGGCTTGTGGGCCCCCTAGCTAGCAGGTCTCCGGTGCCCATCTTCTGCTATATGGAGGCTTTTGACCTGGAAAAAATCATAAGAAAGCTTTTCGGACGAAGCACCGCGATCTCGAGGCGGAACCTGGGCAGAAGCAATCAAGGGCTCCGGTGGAGCCGTTCTGCCAAGGAAACTTCCCTCTCGAAGGGGGAAATCGAAGGCGTCGTCATCACCAACGATCCTCTCATCGAGAGGAGGTCAATATCCATCAACATCTTCACCAACACCATCTCCTCTCAAACCCTAGTTCATCTCTTGTATCCGATCTTTGTCTCAAAACCTCAGATTGGTACCTGTGGGTTGCTAGTAGTGTTGATTACTCCTTGTAGTTGATGCTAGTTGGTTTATTTGGTGGAAGATCATATGTTTAGATCCTTAATGATATTCAATACCCCTCTAATTATGAACATGAATACGCTTTGTGAGTAGTTATGTTTGTTCCTGAGGACATGGGAGAAGTCTTGTTATAAGTAATCATGTGAATTTGGTATTCGTTCGATATTTTGTTGAGATGTATGTTGTCTTTCCTCTAGTGGTGTTATGTGAACGTCGATTACATGTGACTTCACCACGACTTGTCACTTGTTACCCGTTACGAATTATATTATCATAAAACTATTTATTACCGATAATTTCAGTGCTTGCAGCGAATACCTTATTGAAAACCGCTTGTCATTTCCTTCAGCTCCTCGTTGGGTTCAACACTCTTACTTATCGAAAGGATTAAGATAGATCCCCTATACTTGTGGGTCATCATTGAGATCCTTAACGACATGGAGTAGAATAGTGTTTTAATACAAAGAATTGATACCAATATGAGGATCTGATACAAAGAATTGATACCAATATGAGGATTCGATACAAAGATTGAGCACAAAAGACGAACTAGGGTTTTGATATGAGATGGTGCTATTGAAGATGTTGCTGAAGATTGACCCTCCCACGATGAGAGGGTTGTTGGTGATGATGATGGCCTCGATTCCCCCCTCCCTGAGGGAAGTATCCCCGGCGGAATATCTCCGTTGGAGAGCAAAAGTTCTCCTACCCAAGTTCCGTCTCGAGACGGCGGCGCTCCCTCACGAAAGTTCTCCCCTTAATTTTTTTCTTGGGAAATTCCCTTATATACCAAAAGATGGGCACCGGAGGCTGGCCAGGGGCCCCACTACCCACTAGGACGCACCAGGGGGGTTAGGCGCGCCCTGGTGCCTAGTGAGCACCTGGGTGGCCCCCTCTGGTATTTATTTTCTCCAATAATTTTTATATATTGCAAAATGAATCTTCGTAAAATTTTAGTACATTTGGAGATGTACAGAATAGGTATCTCTGACATAGCTTTTTCAGGTCTAGAATTCCAGCTGCCGGTATTCTTCCTCTTTGTGTAAACCTTTCATATTATGAGAGAAAAGGCATTAGAATTACTCCACAAAGTGTTATATTGATTAAAAACACCATAAATAACACTAAAAAAACATGATGCAAAATGGACGTATCAACCCTTTCTTTTCATTTATGTTAATTGATATCCCTCGGATTGCAAGCAAATGTGTCGCTTTGTTCAGTCACTTGTGACCCCGTATCGAACCTATCGATATCTTGAATTTCCTTTCTTGTTGAACTCTAGTTGTAAGACTCTAAAGGCCTCAGTTTAAGGACCAACAAGCGCTTGTTTTCTAAAAGAAACATAATCTTATGCCCGGGCTGAAACGGTAAGTTCTCGGATTAAATTAAATTGGATTGCTAAGAAATCACCAAGCAAGAAAACGAAACCACTAAATCAGTGGCCACCTTACATGTCATAACCCAAATACATGACAAATACTTCTTTGCAACCAGAACCAAATACACTATACCATATGAACAGAGTTTAGCGAAGTTAACAGGCACGTTCATCCCTAGAAGATCAACACATGCTAATGGACGGTGCTAGAATCAGCAAGTTTTCAACCACCACATCTGTGCACAACAAATTTGAAATCCACCAAAAATTGAGGCGCAGATGGTGTCCCATGAATAAGTTTCACGATAATTTATATAGAGATACATTTTCGAGTCGACCAAAACGAATTTCCTATGTATTTCACGAGCCTCTAGTCTTTACCCATTTCGAAAGGAGCGGACTTTCACTAGCAATACAAATTTGCATGAATGGCCAGGCAGTCCTAATAGTGCCAGTGAGTACTGTCCAACAAACTAATTGCAGTTTCTAATAATATTTGTTCATGCGCCTATTGAGAGTGAGTTTCTTCACATCAGGTATTGCATCTTTTGCTGAAACAGTTTATCAACCACAATGTTGTAGGCCTTTTCGGTAGGATGGAAGCTGTCCCAGAAAATGAAATCATAAGCATTCGGGCACGCAGGGTGATTTTTAATGAATATTGCTGCATTTAGCATTGTGCTACCACAACATCCTTCGTTTACCTCCTTGAAACCTATATTACAGTCAGTTTCAAAAATATTAGTATCAAATAACTATGAATTTATTATGACAACATGTCCATCGGCATGTATTTATACACACTATATAAAGCCAAATATTCCTGAACAAAGTATACAAACTAATGTAAACATTTATGTGTACCATGTTAGTTCACTACACAGTTCTGGTTACTTCAATTTTCCTGTGGTATTGTAAGATTGATGACATGTTAGAGGTTAATGTTTCTCACTGTTATTTGTTAATATGTCTATAGCAGATATACTCCACAGTAATGATTGATGGTATGCTCTGAAATAGCAACCGAGTATACAATGTGCACTCACCATAAAAATCAGATCGTTGAATGAGATCAAGCAAATTGTAGTATATATCAAGATAAATAAACTTCGAGCCTTGAACATTTTGTTCTGCATCTAGCCGTTGTATTTCCTTTTCTATTTCAGAATTAAACAGATTTGCTGCTTGATTCCTCATGGGCTCACATTCTCTTGATCCAAGTTCTCTTTGCGAGGGACAACATCCAATTGGTGCAATGCCAATTAATGCAATCTTCTTTGCACCCATTTCATTTAATTTCTGTATGGAAGAGTATATATGAGTGTACTAAATTTTACAAGTAGCAGGTCGACTGCTCAAATGCCAATTAAACAGCAGATATATGTTGGATGCAAAAAAAAATTGGCGATTATAAGCATCATGGTCATTATAAAATATCCCTATGTTGAAACTTTGTCAAGAGAAGTAGATGGTAGAAAAATTTCAGCAATGTACTAAATTTACAAACACTTATATTTGTAACCGACTAAAGGAAACTACTTGATGAAGTAGGAAGGGATGGTTTGTCGTTTTTGAGTTCGAGTGAAATATGTGAAACTTTAAAATGTCGAAGAACTAAATGAACACTAGAACTTTGTGCAAAATGAGAGAGTCAAATAAGATTTCGTATTTACTACTAAAAGGTTTAGAGTTTCAATAAATACTCTTACCATGGTAAAGTTGACAGCAGAAGAGACAAGAAATTTCACATAAGAAGGAAGGTCATATTGATGGCGCCTCAAAGGAATTGTAAAATAGTTATTTGCAAGGTCATTTGCCCCCATGACAGTGAAGTATATGCCTTCGGAGATTACACGTGTCATCTCCTCTTCTCCGACTAAGGCTCTTAGTCGCTCCTTAAATTCAAGGAATAGTTCAAGTTGCCCAGTACTTGATGTAGCAGCCTGAAGCATAGGAAATTAGCATTTGCAAACTCTAGTATGAGATGCATGTGACATATTTTGTTACCGAGGGTATATACTTGACGAGAACTATATTGTGAGATGCATGTGGCATATTTTATTACCGAGGGTATCGAAGTTAGAGGATCGTATCCACTGCCACCAGAAGCAAAGACGACACCAGTGAGTAGCTCACTTAGTGGAAGATCATTTCCGAGGTAGGGTGGTAATAGTTCCTTAATTCCCAGCCTAGAAACTGCTTGATCAAGAAAAATGTCACCAACAGTGGATATTCAAGTTTTCACCTGGTGTAAACTAGCCATTAAAGAGTTTAAACTTGAAAAGAACTCATAGTTTTTTAAGAAGTAGTAATTGATCATTTTAAGTAGTATAGTACTGTTTAGACGCGTGTTGATGAATGCCCGCAGGATGGTGATGATGTCTAGCGTCGTGGTGGCGTCGACGGCAGTTGGGCCTGGCAAGATCAATGCATTGATCTCTCCTGAAGTTGCCACGACAAAAGATGGTGGCGGTGGATTCTAGAGCTTGCACATGTGATGCTTGCTAAGGGTCTTCTAGATTGGTTGGTGCTCTTGCTCACCATGGGGCGGCTTGGTGATACCGCCGAATTAGATGGTATGCGTGTTGTGATACCAGAACATCATCAAACTTGTAACGGTAGCGACATAAATTGTCAAAAATATAACTTTGGATTGATCTAATGTATTTGTTTTGTCAGACTATATTGAATAATTTAATAAACATGACCATTGCTTGATCCAAAGGAGGATAATCTTTTTGAAAAAAAATAGTACTGTTTGGTCGTGGTTCTTCTGTCACGTGATCAATTTTTGGTTATTGCTCGACATGCAAGTTAATTGTGCAACATATCAAGCCGTCCCCATGATGGAGTACGTGAATTCGAAATTGATGTTGATAGAGCCATGATGGAGTAGTTAGTTGTGCTTGTGCATTAAATGGAGGAGGCAGAAAAAAAAATGCACGACGGATGGAAAGCAAGCTGACGGGCCAGTACGACTGAACTGTATGCATTTCATTAGCAGCTCCTATGTACATGCACAGTGTTCTCATCTGGACCCCAAAATGTCTCCTGCAACAATACTACAACAATAGTGGTGCGAAGACTTCAAAGTTGCTGCCGACGTACGAAACTTGCTACTCCCCCCGAAAGGAAAATGACAATGCTAGCCGTTTGGCTCCAAATTTAAGTTTGCCCCATCTGATCTTAGGCACGTCACAATTTTTTAGGTACTCCCTCAGTCCTAAAATAAGTTTCTCAACTTTATACTTTCTTAATAAAAAAATATATAATCATTTAGATCATGAAAGTAGTGATCTAAACGCTCTTATATTTGTTTACACAGAGGGTACAAAGTTGGGACATTTATTTTGAGACGTGGGAGTATTTGCTTAACTTTTTTCACAAGTTTGCCACAAGTATGGTGTCAATTTTCTTGGCCACACTTTGTAGCAAGCCACACTTTTCTTACCTTGTCAGGTGCGGTAAAGTTAGCCTTCAACTAGACATTCCCGCGTATTTCTCATGTTGTTGTAACCAAAGTTGCATATAAAACGTACAAGAAGCTGCTCCATTAGTTTCCAATTTAGATATAACCGGTGCATGCCATACACATCAAAAGTAGCGTAAACAACAAAGTTGCACCAAAAGTAAATACTTCCTCCGTCTCAAAATTTTTGTCTTAAATTTGTCTAAATACGGATGTTTAGAAAAAAAGCAACAACAATGTCAGCTCCCGGTTGCTACTACTTACTATGTACGTACGTACCTAGCATGTCGCCTGGAACCTTCCCGTTGGAGAACCTCCCGGTGGCCACCCCGCCGGGGAAGTCCTGCCCGTACGGCGGGAAGTTGGCCTTCGCCTCCGTCAGCCGGTCGTTGTTGTTGCCGGGATCGACGATCGAATCGCCGAACATGAAAGCGGCGGAGATTTTGCTTCTAGCCATGGCTGCTGCTCCATGGGCGGATGGGAGAAGCGCCATCAGTACCAGCAGCAGGCCTCGGTAGAGAGACACCATTGCCTCGCTCCGTGCTACTATTGTTGTATGTACTATCAGCTGGCTAGCGGTGTAGTGTGTGTGTGTCGCTGGCTCTGGCTGGTGCAAGATGGATCACGCCGTGGGAGGTTTTATAGCGAGGCATGGAGAAAAGTACGTGCGCGTCCGCTGCGCAGTGAGGCGACTCGGATCACCATCATCATGCATATATGGTTGGTTGGTCGCTGCATGCATTGAATACACGGCTCCGATCCTGTCGATCTATTGGGCAGCCTGGTGGTGTAAAATTGTAGGAGGCCCAAGTCCGGCTTCTTTATGATCATGCCACGGTCGTCCGTGTTTTAGGCAGCCTACCTGCCAATACAGGTCTGTGATGAATGACACAACACGTTTGGATCACGTATGTGGGCGGTTTAAGGGTAAGGGCAATTCCAACGCAGGCTCTAAGGGCATCTCCAGCCGTTCGGCCCCCCAAGGGCACGAAAAAGCGCCGCCTGGGGGCGAGCCGGCGTTTTTTTCGGCGTGGGGGCGAGCACGTTCCCAGCCGCCGCCCCCAGGTCGCCCCCAGACGTCCCCACAGTTCGTCCAAATTTCAACAAACACGGCCAAATTTGAACAAACACGGCCAAATTTCGGCGAAATTTAGGCGTTTTTTACACGAATAAAAGGGACGAAAAAACCCTAAACTACGGCCGATGCTTCTCCTCCTTGACACGGCCGCTGCTCGACCCCTCGCCCCGGCGTGCTGCTTCACTCGAGCGGCGGGTCGTTGCCGCCCTCAACGTGCGCGAGGACGCCGCTGAGCATGCGGCCAGGGACGCCCCACCACAGGCGGCGGCCCTCGTTGTTGTTGCGGCCGCGCGGCATCGGCGCGTTGTTGGTGGAGACGAGCCGCTCCTCCTGCCAGCGTTCGAAGTACGCCGCCCACGCCGCGTGGTTGTCGGCGGCGTACTCCAGGAGCGCTCGCTCCGCGGCCGTCAGGGACGCCCGCGCATGCTCGATCTCGGCGTGGTAATAGGGCGTCTCGGGGACGGGCAGAGGGGGGACATGGACCCCGCCGGCGCTGAGCCCCCACCGCGACGTAGCGCGTACGTCGGGCCGCGCGGGGTAGTTGGCCTCATGGAGGAGGTAGGCCTCCCGCTCATGCAGCGAGCGGCTGCCGAAACCGTTGGTTGCCGCTGCATCGCCGGGGTACCTCGCGCTCATGGTTGCCGGGGGGGAGAGAGAGGGGCTCGAACGGTGAAGAGAGGGGAGGAAGTGCGGCGGCGAGGAGGGGGAGGACTGCCGATGGATGGGTGCCTCACCATCGCGGCCAGGGGCACCTTTTATAGCGTCTCGGGGGCGGCCGCGCGCGAACGCGTGGCGGAAGGCGGGGCGGCGTCGCCGCACTTCGCCGCCCGTGAATCAATGGCAGGCTGACCGACGGCCTTCGCATTGATTCCCCACAAGAAAACCGAGACGATGAGGACGACCAGCATTCGTCTCGCTGACGCGCCGGTCCCGCCACTCTTTCACACCAAAACGTTCACGCCGGCGCTCCCGGGCGCCCCCTAGCGCGTCGGCGTCAATTTCGGCCCAATCCGGCGAAAAACAGGCTCGTGGGGGCGCGACTGTGCTGATTTTTCGGCGCCGGCGCTAAAAACGGCCTTGGGGGGCCTGTTGGGGGCGCGGCTGGAGATGCTCTAAATGAACGTTCGTTCTGTCCGGGATTTCGTTCTTTTGGGGATGGCAATGAGGCCGTGTCCGTCAGCATTTGTGGATGCGCCGAGCGTGCGTCCAACGCGCGGCCGCCTCTTTGGCCGCATATGGTCCGCGGGCATGCAAATATGAAAACAACAAAAGATGTAGCTAAATGGCAGCGACCATAGTTCACGCTAGCGGCCGCGATTCACACCAGTTCATGTCGGCCGACAACAAAGCCAGCGGCCTACAGAATCGTCACCCTCCAATTTCACGCCGGCAACAAAGCCAGCGGCCGGTGCACTAGCCAGGCTTCAAAATGGACATGTTTTTTACGCCGACAACAAAGCCAGCGGCGACACACGAGTAGGCCTTCAAAATGAACAAGTTTTTGGCGCCGACAACAAAGTCAGTGGCCAGCACACCAGCCAACATTCAAAATGAACGGCCATAGTCCATAGCCGAGGTCTCACCTAGTCCAGGCCGTCACGGGCGAACATCTTCTTCTGCCGGTTCGCGAACCAAGCCTTCGTCTCCGATGACATGTTGTTCTTGTCGACACTCATGATCGCGAGTGCCGCCTCTTTTGCTTTGGTGTCAGCATTGGTGGCCTCGATCTCGAGCTTCTTGAGTTAGAGCGGCCTCCTCGATGTCAAGCTTCCTCCTCTTCGCAGCCTCCTCCATGTCAAGCTTCTTCATTTGGAGCTCTAGGTAGATCTTTATTTGCTCCTCCTCTCCTCCCTCACTTCCTTTTGAATCATCATGTTTTCAACAGTTCCTTGCAAGGCCATGGAAGACGCATCACACTTCTCGTCGGCCTTCGAGCTTGTATTGTCCCTCGGCCTCTTGAGCAAGTCTCCCTCATCAGCCACGGTCGCCTTCCCTCCTTTCTTCTTATGAGCGGCATATTTGTATTTGAACTTGGGGCAATCTTTGATGAGCAACCAATAATGTGTGAGAGTAAATGGCTTGTTCTTGTATCGGGCCTTGAAGGCTTCCAAAGATTGGAATGCCTACACGGTCAAAGATGCGGCCAGAATTCTAACATGGAAGGACACAAGATGCATGAGACATAAATGGCATGCCAACATGAAAGGACACAACATGAAAAAAAGAGGTTCAAACCAAGTCACCAAGGCCTAGGCCACTCACGGGACTGGCTTCGACGCTCTCAAGCACGACACAATACTTGTTGCACTCTTGTTGAATGAACCCCCATCTCTTTTGTATTGAGTTGATGTCGCGGGTGCTCGCAAATTGGTAGAGGGCAAACTTCCTTCGCTCATGAAAGGTTTTGTGAACCCTCATCCAAAAGACGGATCCTTTTTGCTCGGCACCTTTCATCGGATTTTGGCCTATCTCCATCCAACTCTCGCAAATCAAAGTGTCCTTCTATTGGGTGTATGATCCCGTGCGAATGCTTTGCCTCCTATTTTGTGCCTCAGCCCTTTAGGTGAGCTCATCAATGAACACCAATGACTCCTCCGCAATGTCGACCTCTTCTTCCTCATCTTCACAATACAAGTCATCATCTTCATGCCATGTGTGGTGATACGTCCATTTTCCATCATGCTTTTATATTGATATTTATTGCATTATGGGCTGTTATTACACATTATATCACGATACTTATGCCTTTTCTCTCTTATTTTATAAGGTTTACATGAAGAGGGAGAATGCCGGCAGCTGGAATCCTGGACTGGAAAAGGAGCAAATATTAGAGACCTATTCTGCACAACTCCAAAAGTGCTGAAACTTCCCGGAGAATATTTTTGGAATATATAAAAAATATTGGACGAAGAAAGTACCAGAGGGGGGCCACCTACCATCCACAAGGGTGGAGGACGTGCCCTACCTGCCTGGCGCGCCCACAGTCCTTGTGGGCCCCCTGACAGGCCCCCGATGCCCATCTTCTGATGTATGGTGTGTTTTGACCTGGAAAAAAATCAGAAGGAAGCTTTCAGGACAAAGTGCCGCCATCTCGAGGCGAAACTTGGCCAGAACCAATTTAGGGCTCCGACGGAGCTGTTCTGCCAGGGAAACATCCCTCCTGGAGGGGGAAATCATCTCCATCATCATCACCAACGATCCTCTCATCGAGAGGGGGTCAATATCCATCAAAACCTTCACCAGCACCATCTCCTCTCAAACCCTAGTTCATCTCTTGTATCCGATCTTTGTCTCAAAACCTCAGATTGGTACTTGTGGGTTGCTAGTAGTGTTGATTACTCCTTGTAGTTGATGCTAGTTGGTTTATTCGGTGGAAGATCATATGTTCAGATCCTTAATGATAATTAATACTCCTCTGATTATGATTATGAATATGCTTTGTGAGTAGTTACGTTTGTTCCTGAGGACATGGGAGAAGTCTTATTATAAGTAATCATGTGAATTTGGTATTCGTTCGATATTTTGATGAGATGTATGTTGTCTTTCGTCTAGTGGTGTTATGTGGACATCGACTACATGACACTTCACCATTATTTGGGCCTAGGGGGAGGCATTGGGAAGTAATAAGTAGATGATGGGTTGCTAGAGTGACAGAAGCTTAAACTCTAGTTTATGCGTTGCTTCGTAAGGGGCTGATCTGGATCCATATGTTTCATGCTATGGTTAGGTTTATCTTAATTCTTCTTTCATAGTTGTGGATGCTTGCGAGAGGGCTTAATCATAAGTGGGAGGCTTCTCAAAGGATGGGAAGCACCCAAGCACCGGTCCACCCACATATCAAAATATCAAAGTAACGAACGTGAATCATATGAGCATGATGAAAACCTAACTTGACAACAATTCGCATGTGTCCTTGGGAGCGCTTTGCTTCATATAAGAATTCGTCGAGGCTTGTCCTTTTCTACAAAAAGGATTGGGCCACCTTGCTGCACTTTAGTTACTTTTGTTACCTTTTAGTCGTTATGAATTATCTTATCACACAACAATCTGTTACCGATAATTTCAGTGCTGGCAGAGAATACCTTGCTGAAAACCGCTTCTCATTTCCTTCTGCTCCTCGTTGGGTTCGACACTCTTACTTATCAAAAGGACTACGATAGATCCCCTATACTTATGGGTCATCAAGACTCTTTTCTAGCGTCGTTGCCGGGTAATGAAGCGCCTTTGGTAAGTTGAATTTGGTAAGGAAACATATATATATATATATATATATATATATATATATATATAGTGTGCTGAAATTTACTATCACTTGTTACTATGGAAAATAATCCTTTGAGGGGCTTGTTCGGGGTATCTTCACCCCGGCCGGAAGAGCAAAGAGTTGCTCCTCAACCTACTGAACCTACTAAAAATATTTATTATGAAATTCCTTCGGGTATGATAGAGAA